ATGATTAATGTTCAATCTCCTTTTTTATTAACTAAATCGGTTTCTTAAACAAATTTCTATTCAAATATTTTTCTTTTTCGTTTTTTAATTTACTCCATCGCATGGCCGAGAAGCCATTTTGAGACAGCTAAGATCATTGTGTACAAATACAAGAGAGATATATTAGCAATAGACGTCATCCTGGGCCACAGATGCGATCATCTGTTTTTTAGAGTTGCTTATTTTGGTCAAGCTGTGCCTTTTTGACCTGAGTTGCATTAAATAGTCTCATAAAACTTAGTACTATTTTTGTTCAAATGGTAACATATATGCCCATTGATTTCGACTTTAGAAATATTCATATTATAAAGGTTTTTCACATATGTTTTAAGATTTTAAAGTTTTTAAAAAGTACGGTAGAATGCAACAATGTTCTTGAATTTGTTTGCGTTTTCGTCAGCTTATTCGTTTGCAGACTGGAAAAATTGCGAACGGCTATCAAAATACTGATTCAAAATATACATCTTTCACTGGACACACAAATTGGGTGTGCGCAGAAAAATTCAGCCCTAATGGCCAGTTATTTGCATCGTGCGGCGACAAGTTAAGAATTTGCGATACATCTTCAGGCGAACGTGTGCGAACGTTCACCCGGGAAGTGGTATGGGACGACAGCTGGCATGGCTTCCAGACGGTAATCTGGTGGCTTTAGCATTAAGTTGTAACCGTGTTAAGATATTTGACATAGCCGAAGGCAAGGCGCATCCATACAAGGTGGTGTTGATTGCATATAAGTAAAAGTCCCGTGTATTTTGTTATTGCTTTTTGGTACAGGAGGATGTCAAAACGAAAGGGAATAGGAGATAATTTTCATCACTTTCTTTTGTTGACATCCTAAAGTGGCGCCACTTCGTCTTGGATGACATTCTCCTGTACTAGTGTAGAGACAAAAATATCCAGCCAGCTGATTAATCAACACCACCTTGTATTGATGCGCCTTGGCCGAAGGCGAGCTAATACAGTTGTATCAAGTGCTTTCGTCGCCAGAGAATGATGTTGCATTTCACCCAGGTGGAAATTTCTTGGTGACTGGCGGCGATGACGATACAATAACATTGCTTAGATTTATTAGAAGGTCGACCAATTTATACACGGTAGTAGTGCACTATAGCTACGGTGACCATAAATATATTTCGAAAATGCAGGACAATTTTTCAAAAAATTAACCTACATATAATTGCGTAGTATAAAAATAACAAAAATATACTACATATCAGGGTATGAAAATAAACTGTACAAACCAATTCCCATTTGCTCATCGATCATCATATCATTTGTGGTTTTGTACAGTTTTGTACATAGTCAGAAAAAAATTGTAAGATTCACTGTAATTTTCCCCAACGAGAAACGTTTGCTTTTCGTTTGTGACAATTGTACCATAGGGTACGTTTTATATGTATGCAAACGTTTCAATTACTTGAAAAATATTTTTTTCTGTCAATTTTCATATCCAATTCAATTAAAAAACATGTACTACATATATACATATATTTTTCTCTGCACGATTCATTTCGTTTGTTGTTTCGTCTGTAACTACTAAACAACTGTAGTGTACTATCGCAAAGTGAACTCAGCCGTTTTGTTCCCGTATTGTACCGAACTGTTGAAGTAATAAACGAAACGAAATAGTAACGTACAATATAGTTTATTTTCGTACACTGCTACATATATACATTCTTCGTCATTTGAATAGCGCACCCTTTTTTTGATTTTCTACCATACAAAGTATGCTTGACAAAATTTTTATATGGAAGAAAATGCGCAGCACCGTCAACAAAAAAAATTGTCGCCCCTATGTTTATTTTTTTTAATTTTCAAAAATTTTTTAAATGGGATGTAGACGTAGAATATGCTATATTTTTATAAAACGTTAATGAATATTAAACAAACAAAAGGAAAACTGTACCTACTAAGTATTGGGCTGTATGAATAAAAATAAGCAATTGCTTTTTCTTGAAATTTCAGACCTTTTACTCAATTTATTCAAACAAAATTGGAGTAAAAGGTATACAATTTTAAGAAAAGGCAATCGCTTAGTTTTTATTCGTACGGCCCATTAAAAGGATGCGCTATTCAAATAACCAAGAGTGTATATTTCTTAATTATTAATCCAATTTTAAACTTTTAACATAAATCACATTTGCTTCATTGGTATTAATCCTTTAGTAATGAATATTTACAAAATTATAATAAGGCATATTACGTATTACTTTACACGAAATATGAACCTCTGTAAAGCAAATTTTTTAGGCAAACTTTGGGTCGTTGAACACGAAAAAANGGTTAGTTCAATTTACAAACTTTAACAACAAATAACTTAAAAACTAGAAGCCTGCTGCGGCTAAAAGTATATATATTTGCAATCAGGAGAACTCCCTCTATCGTTCCATAGCTACCTTAATGCGGAACTCCGGGGATGCCAAACTAAATTGCAGCCGAAAAAATTATATAATATACATTTTTTCCCTATATTCAACAGTTGCTCCTTTGGAAATCTAATTTGCATACATTTGATGCCAATAGCCAGTTCTCAAAGAGTCCAAATTGATTTTAGTCATACAACAGCTCCACATAACTCCGCCATAGACACACCAGTTGCTGCAGTACCAAAAAGCTATGATGACAGTATTTTAATTGATCAACGACAATCGGTGGCATATGGAAATTTTCTGGTGCTTGATAGCCAATATACTACAAGAGTGAAACGCTACAAGTGAAACGCTGAGACAGTAATTTTTCTTAAATTTCCAGATTTTATTTGCAGTTACATTAAGAAGCTAATAGAGGGCAGAGTTGTTGGTGAGGAAGGTGTCGAGTTACTGCAGTACTGCAACTGGGAAAATCCACATTTCGCACGTGCCCCACTCGTATGGAATAGTAGCTTATGTCAAAATGCTGTTTTTAGTATAATGCGGCATTCGCAGCACACCCTCACTGGCGCCGAGCCGTTGAAGAAATTTTGGCAAATGAACGTGCAAGAAATAGTTCCGATACTAGCAAGTCCATATTCTTGTTAAGGGTTATCGAAAAATTCTTTGTGTGGTAAATAATAAAGGGAATGCCGGATTATACTAAAGCCAGCTTCCCGACATAAACTACTATTCCATACAAATACAGAAATATAAGTGTATCTAAAACTGAATGACTCAAATCAAATTGGATTGCATTTGCATAATATAACTAATATTGGAATCTGTTTTAATCGTAAAAAATACAACTTGCAATCATTTAGATTATAGTTTTGAAAGAAATTGATTGCAATCGTAAATTGTGTAAAAATTGTTTATAGTAATCTGCCTTAAATTTATGTTCCCCATGTAACGGTTATAAAATACGTTAAATCCGCACTATCTGCATTAACAAAAACTATACATTGGAATATTTAAAATAAAACGATTCATTTTTATTCTCTAATAAGAATTGTTTCTTAATTGAAAGTATTTAATACTAATATAACGTAGTGGTTAATGTTTAAAAATGAATTCGCAATATGTCCGCAGCTCAGGTTGATTTGAAGAAATCCGTTTAAATTTTTCGAATTACATACATCTACTTGAATATAGGATAGGCAGGGTTGCATACAAATGGTAGTTCCGTAAATATTTAAAATATGTTAGTTCATTCAATATTTACATCTGGGCCAATAAATAATAACAAATATAGCCGAAAAAAACAAAGTTTCAAGTTTCAGTTTTTATAACCCCCCATAAAATTCCGATTAATTTTAAATCTGAAAATAACAATATTTTTTCATGGAGAAGTAATTTTTTTCATATACCTTGCTTATACCTACACAAGAACCGCATTAGCAAAAAAACCGATTGGACGCAACATATATTTCTTGACAGCATTTATACCCCTGTCTTTATAGCGCACTCGATAAAGTCTTATTCAAAAGTAAACAAAATCTGCTATTTTTAAACGAAATTTTTTTAATAAATAATTTGCGCGGTTGACCGAAATGGAAACAAACAATAATTGCAATTTATTATAACAATAATTCGAATTTAAAACGGGCTGTATAAAGAAAAACAGCCTATTGTCACTTCACTTCAAATGAGTGATGCGTTTATACTTGTTTTCTAACGGATATGAGAAACAAAAAACCGATCTGGAAACAAATAGAAGTCAACAGACTTTTCAATTTCAACGCGTTTTGAAATTTAGTTTATGCATCCGTTTTGAATCACAGCGAACTGGGTCAAAGCACCTTATATGTCGGTATAAACAAGGTAATATAGCCTTTTTATTCTTAACAACATACATAGACATTTTATTTAACTGTTGAAATGGTAACAATTACTATGCGCAAAAAGTTACTATACATTAAATTTTTGTTTTATAAAAATACGTTTTTTAAATTTCACTCTAATTTAGACAGTGGAAATATTTTCATTTTAAAAATGTATCACATATTTTTGAAGATTTTCAAAGCTTTCAAAAAATACTGCAGAACACAACAATGAGCCTTAGGANAAACAAGGTAATATAGCCTTTTTATTCTTAACAACATACATAGACATTTTATTTAACTGTTGAAATGGTAACAATTACTATGCGCAAAAAGTTACTATACATTAAATTTTTGTTTTATAAAAATACGTTTTTTAAATTTCACTCTAATTTAGACAGTGGAAATATTTTCATTTTAAAAATGTATCACATATTTTTGAAGATTTTCAAAGCTTTCAAAAAATACTGCAGAACACAACAATGAGCCTTAGGATGTTCGATGATAAATAAGCAATTGCTTTTTCTTAAAATTTCAGACCTTTTATTCGATTTGTTCAACAAATCTAAATAAAAGGTCTGAAATTTTAAGAAAAAGCTATCGCTTATTTTTGAATTATTTTATATACTTATTTTCTGTCTCAAAATGGCTTCTCGGCCATGCGGTGGAGTAAATTAAAAAAACGAAAAAAGAAATATATTTGAATAGAAATTTGTTTAAGAAACCGATTTAGTTAATAAAAAAGGAGATTGAACATTAATCATGACGATAATGCTTCATTAGACGCCAGGCCAATAACCTAATTCATCAAACAAACATTCGTTTGCGGATGCGGAAAACATCGTCCCAATTGTACGTTTGTCTCCAATTTCTTTTATTAATAATTGAATAAATTTAATTTAGTTTATTTCTACTTTCCGAAAATTTCCAATGGTACTGATTGCTGCAAGAATTATTTAGCGATTTGGAGCATAATCAACACAATATGTATATGCACATAAATATGTATTATTTCACAGATCTCAGGGTCAGCTTAGAAATACGTCACCAAAATTATATAAAATTTAAGTGGGAATTATTTTTACTTATAACGTAAAAGCGCTATCTGACCCAATCTGAAGAGTATATTTCCCCTAAAGTTAACCCATTTTATTTACTTTGTCTCTCGTGAAAATATATATTTTATTTAAAGTTTTCAGATATGTACATATATTTTAAATATTTGCATTAATTTTTGTCTCCTTTTAATATTTAATTAGATACGTTAAGATTAAAATAAGCTTAAAACGAAACAGCACAGCAACCCTTTTCTGTTCATCTTGAGCACACAAAACCCTCTTTTGTTAAAATTCGGCGCTGCACAAAATCCTGGCCTTTATATTTTCCAACAAAATACCACTTCGCAACCCTGGATTTTCACGAAGCGTTTCATTCGGGTCGTAGTTTTACAACTTCGGGCCATTCGGTGTTGTATGCCATATTGTTCACACTGTCATCGCCATATTGAACACCCTGTCCACAATAGCTCTGATCCAATACTTTTCGTGAAAAATCCTGTAAAACTGTCAAACAGCAAAATTACTCTCTGAAGTGAGAGTTAAAAGTGAGTAACAACAAAAAGTACGGGAACAAAAAAAACATTTTTCCTGTAAAAACGTCAACCAGTGATTGCTTGACACTTTTCATGATTTTACCAGCAGAAAAAGTTCGGGTAAAATCTTGCAACTTCATTCTCTACACAACTCTACAAAAGTCGCTCTCATTTACAGGATTTTGGAGGATTTCGGAGTACGGGAACCTTTTTGCCTGCAACTTCCTGCAAGTTCGTGTAAAATCCTGTAAGTTCATGGACTACTGGATCAGAGCTTATGGCTAAGATATCTCACTTGTATTTGTACACAATGGATGGTAGTTCGATGTATCGAATTAAAACATCCATTAGGGGATTCCCTTAAACGCGAAGAGCAGAAAACTCGAAAACCTCGAAAGTTTTCGAGGCTGTTTTTGGGAATGCACCTTTTTTCAGCCTCGTAAACAATGGAGAAATTCCGAAGTTTGACAGCTCATTCAGAGTTTTTTGTATAATACATCGCATCAGCTGAAATAAATACATATAAAATCAGCATTGAAAATGCCACGAAAAAGTGAAAAATGTAAATTGTATGAATTTATTGATCAAAACGCAGTCAACAATTATAAAGGCAACACTGAAACTTACGAACGACTTTTCGAGGCTTTTTTCGCGACTAATTTGCCTCGAAAGTTTTCGAGGCACGCGAAAATCGCCACTCATACAATTTTTGACAGTTGTTTTTCGAGGCTGGAAAAGTTTCGAGGTTTCGTGGTTTTCGAGCCACTTTCGAGCTTAAGGGAATCCCCTAA